AAAAAAAAAAAAAAAAACGAATTCCAAAAAATCGGAAACAAATATATGTTGTGCAGAAAAATAAACTAAACACCATTTGCCTCAACTTTACATCCAAATTCTTTACCGAATTTGAAATAAAAATCAAATACTAAAAATAAATAATAATAATAATAATAATAATGAAAATTAGAAAAAATAAAACGAGAATGAAATTATTGAGTGGACGAGCACGTTTTTGACACCGCCATCTTTGATGATTATTCACTTTTTTATGTCTGTGACAAATGCGATGAAAATTTATGTATGTGTATTTTACATATAGAGAATCTACAAATAAAGTTTGAAAAAATAATATTTTTGTTCATGCCCCGAAATAAAGGAAAGACAAAAAGTGAAAAGAGAGAAAAAACAAATTAGTGAGTGGGCAAGCAAGTTTTGACACCACCATCTTTGCCAATTTTTAATTTTTTTTTGGATGAACAGAATAGCTTCAAAATTAAGAGGGACATACCTTACATCACAAAGAACTCACAAAAAAAATTCAGAAAACAATAATAATATTTAGGTGCCAAATTATTTTTTTGCGGGGTCCGAACCCCTTCAGGTTCGGGCCCCGTACGGGGAGCTGAACGCCCGAACGTTCGGGGCTCAGCTTAGGGGCCTCCGTACGTTCGGCCTGGCAACCCTGTATATATTTTTTTTTGTTTTCCTTAGTGCAGGGGAACCTATCCTACATCCATGATTTGTTTTGGAATTGTTTGTGGGAGGAGATGACTCAGATGAGAGAATTAAAAACTGCCATGGCTGGGGCACTCCAAATTTTGTGTGCCCCCTCCATACCCCCCTTGCACCCAGTAGGCTGCACCTGACCGCAGCTTCTGTGCACACTGGCAGCGGCGTCACTGCCGTCTTCACCCAAATAGAACGCCCGACCATCATTATCGCTGCATCTAAACTGAAAGTTGTGCTAAATACTTGATAACCGATTATTCTATTCGGATAACGATGGTATCCCTTAGGCGAACTGGTGGTTTAGTTTGCAACTTCGCATTATGACACGCGAAAAAGGCAAAAAAAGTACTGAAGTAATGTGTTTCAAACTGTTATTGTGGTCTCTGTGGATCGTGTGCCCAATCAGTGTTCGGAGCCTGCAGGACTCGCTCAAGGCTTGGATGGTGAGTTTTCTTCTTCTCCTTTTCATTCTGATTTCCATGTGTTTTCTTTTTCTTAAGCCACCACTACCTTTCACAGTGTAGTCCAAGTGGGAATATAGCCTATGCCGCATTCTTCGGCGGCCGGGCTGCCGTTCATAAATTTCATCAGCGGATGTTGTTGCAATGGCGCCCTCCAAAACTCGTGTGGGGCCTCACCGGCGGTCGATCGGTCTGGTAATGGTAATGGTGGCTTAAAGCACCCGTACACCACACATCGGCCCGCGGGTGTCAGCACGAAACCCGCACCACGTCGGAGGCCACCAAATTTTTTTCTCAACGGCGCCCCACACCGCGCGGCCCCTCCGAGTTTTGCTTGTGGCGACAAAAACTTTCTGCAAGGCTGGGGCCGTGTACTTGCAGTTTAAAAAGGAAAAACAAAAGAGCAGGACCTTGACAGTTATAGCCCTGCATCCTCTCTTTTCTGGGGAGCAGCAGTCCAGTTCCTTTTCTCCCGGCAATTCAAGAATTAGATACAAACAACTACCGCCTTCGCCCAAATAGAACGCCTGCTCATTATACCTGTATTTGGGGTGCCTTTCAGTCTAGATACGGCTACACTGACCGAGCGTTCTATTCTTGTGAAGGGTGCCTTTCAGTCTAGATACGACTACACTGACCGGGCGTTCTATTCTTGTGATAAGGGAAGCTAAGTTGATACACCCACGACTGTTGAAATGCAGACCTGTGTCCTAATCCCAAGAGAATGAGATGAGTCAAAAATTCTCAAAATAGGTTTGAATTTACCTGGTGCCAGTCAGTTCACACTTCAAAGGAGAGGGAGAGGCGGTTAACGAAGGCCTCAATTTTCAGATAACTTGCCATTTATAACAAAAGTTACAAAACCCAAGGGTCATTTTAACCAAACTTGCCACCAATTCATAGAGTGGGGATCATGATATCACAAGGGCTGCTGCCCTGTTACAATAGATACAGACAATGAACACCGCAGCGTGTTCCACAGGGCTTAGTATCAGCTTGAGAATAAATACTAAATTCTTGAAGACCAGCTTGCCTGGTATGCCCTCTCTTTTTCTCTTTCTATTCCTTTGCAATTAGAGTCCATAGACTTTCGAAATTTGAATTCATTCTCCTCCTTGTTCTATGGACCGATTTTCGTGACTGCTTTTTTTTTTACTCAGAGTCCTGTAGTCGCTCTATCGGCGAAGGCGCCCTTGTCGGTGGTGAATGCTCGTGTAGTGTATTCTTTGTGCCTTACTGAGGCCGAAGGCGCGTTAGGGATTGCCTGTATCGCTCTGATGTTATATGCACCACCAGAACCATTCCTAAGAGTCCAAGCCATTACTCGCTGACTTGCTTGGAGATGTTTTCTACAGGGGTGCATCTCAGCTTGAGCATGCAGACTGATTTTCCGGCACGGCTTTTTTCAAGGGGAATCGGAACTGATAGGGGAGGGGTTTTGTGACTTTTGTCCCAAAGTATGCATGGCCTTATCTGCCAAGACAAGCAGCAGCTTATTTTTTGTTGATGTATGCCCTCATGGGTTTAGTAACTTTAGTGTCTTTATTGACTGCTTGCTTGAATTTGCTTCCCTTCAACAGATAGACAATTAATTGCTTCCAAGGGTAGCAAAGTCAAGCAATCTATCGTTCCGGATTCTTGCCTAGTCTTTGAGCCACCTGTTTTCTTTTTCCCGTGTGGGTACCCCGCTGCCCGCCCAGCCGGGCGCCTCGCCAGCATAGCTACTGTGACTCTGTGAGCATAAAGGTGGAGCTGTTTGTTCTTTTTTTTTATGGTTTTTTTTTTTGGGAAAAAAAACAGGTCCGTACGGTCCTGGCTCCATATCGATTCTGGGGAGCGTCAGTCCGGTTCCTTTTCCACCGGCAAGTCAAATGGAATACATGCAGCGCTTGTCAGATGATTCCTTGCACAACGAGAACAGTGGAGCCATTTGTTTGTCGTATTTATACAAAAACAAATAACCATGGCAATACACTTCGTGGCTGAACAGGATTAATTCGAGTTCTGGAGTTTTGACTGTTTAGTTTGATTGGAAGATCCTGCCGGGATAGAGGGTTTACATAAGGGCTATTCGTGAAAAAAAAAAAAAAAAAAGATTGGAAGATCCTAAAGAGGGTTTACATAAGAGCTATTCGACGTAGTATTCGTGAAAAAAAAAAAAAAAAAA